GTAAACAATACAAAATAGGAGCGGAGCAAACACAGACCTTCAAAACATCAGAGATGGGATCAGGTGCCATGGAGGAGTGAAAAACTCCTGCGACCGGTCACACCCGCCGGGAAACAAGAGGAAAATCCGTCGTAAATTTAGTGTTTTAATAATGGACTAAGAATTAGTTTGAAAATTGTCAGTCAGCATTTGACATAGTGATAAATTGTATTTGCTGACAAGGTCTTCGACCATAGAACTAACGAAATGATGACTTTAAACGAGACTGCTGATACCTAGTTTTAGAAATTGTTCATACGTGAGCATTTTCTTGCAAACCGAATCAACAGAGAGATTCTGTATCCAGGTGATGAAAGTATATTGCTGCATAAGTAAGGGAGGCCGATGACTGAAAAGTTAAAGTTATCACGTTCATCATATAGCTTGCATCTTAGATTGCCATTAACGTCCTTTTCAAGTAAAATATCTAAATATGATACAGATGTTTCTGTGGTATCTTTTATCTCAAGCTCATCAGGATATATCGTATTGACACGAGAATCGGCAATCTCTACTTAGAGATATCGTCTCATTTATTCCTCTGTCAAAGTCTGAAAAGTAGTACAGAAAGCGAAGGCAAGTGATTTTTTTTCAAATGTTGTTTAAAGCGGCAAACAGGAATATTAACACGTTTACATTTCTATAAAATGTACCAATAGTGCAAGTTGTTTGTCTAAAATAACTAGACCTTGTTTATATTTATTGGCAATGCGTTTTAAATTTGCCACTTTCATAATACTAATATTCTGCCGAGAAATTATCCCTTGTGAGATAAGGTAAGAAAGCGATATTCGAATCTAATTTTCATAGATAAACTCTCATTTTAGATCGAAGGAAAGAACATAGGAGTTTAACCTTAATAAATTAGGATGCAGTAGGTTAAAGTGAATTTTGCCAAGAATATTGACATTTAGTGCTGTAGCAAAGCGTAAAACGCCCGCTAGTGAAAGATTGGAGAATGGAAACAACTTTTGTTAATTGACAATACGTCGTCGATATATCTTAATGACTAGTTGAAGGCCACAGCAAATTTTTTCTTCTTTTCACGAATAAGATTTTGGAATAAATTCTGCTGCATACCTAGGAGATCAAAAAAGGTTAATAACGGGGCGCAATGAGAACCCATAGGAATTCCAATGAATTGTTGGAAGACCTGATCTATCAAAAAGCACATAGATATTGTCAATCAGAAACTCAGGCATCTTTTTGATGTCAACATCAGAGTTATTGTGTGTACAGTAATGAATCAGAATATTTTTTAACAAAGTAATTTTTAAACAAAATAATTAAATGACCAATGACAAGGTAGGAAAATTCACGAGTTAATTTTTTTTTTGGAAAAAGCAGCTGTCAATGATATCAGAAAGCCTGATTTTAATTTATCGTGGGGAATTGTGTATACAGTTGAAAAGTCGTAAGTTTTTAAGCTGTTGATTTTGGAAAAATGTTGTCATTTCTAATTGTCCAAAAGTTCTTTGGAATTATTGAGTATCCACATCTGATATACACCACTTCTCGAATATATTGATGCACTGAATTTTTTCCTTCACTAATGTTAATATCTTAGTGAGGAGTAAAGTAAGAGTTTTGGTTGAACATTTACTGGAACCCGCTATGTTTCTTTGTTTTTAACGACTTTTATGAAGTATTTGAATCCAATACAATGTATAGATATGGTAGTACAAATATATTTTGGTTGTTTGGGATATTATAAATATTCAAAACCGACATATGGTTTTGAAGAATTTCTTTCTTAGAAAGGGAACTATGAGTATAAGTAGGATTACTACTTGCAGAAGTAAATCTATTTTCTATTCTTCTAAAATACAATTTATATAATAATGAGCCTTACAAACGAAGACAATGTTGTTCCCTGCTTTGTAGAAGGGACCAGTACGTACGGATCATGTAATCTATCTTTTTTTTCAATTCTGGATTATTCATAACGTACACAAGGATAGATGGTTTTCATACTGCCCCTCAATCTTTTTTAAATGCGTGATTGTAACGCAGATCTGATACACTTATTTCATTCTAACAAAGTGTTCTAATAAGCAATGAGACCTTACTAGTATAAAGTATAAAAATCGTGCCCCCACCAAGAGTGTAGTCTACAGTACGGAGGTTAATGATGTATAGAAACTACAAAGCATTGAAATATAATAGTTACAAATGCTGTGGTATACGTCTTTTATAAAAACAAAAAACTACATCAATATTGAGGGTACATTCGGTGCAAAATAAATTAAGAATAAATTTGATAAGCTTGGCTTAAGTTGTATTTTGTTCTATGAGTTAGGTTATCATTTGTTCAAAACTTCTGATAATTCTGGAGATTATGTCACAGTTAAAAGATGTGAAGATGTATATGAGTCAGGAACAATATAAAGTATTACAGTACTACATTGTTCACCACTTTTTATCGAAATCTATATTAATCATGGGTATTCAAATACACCGCATGCTTTAGACCGTCTAGTCGTAAATTACAGGATGAAAACGGCAGAAAAAATATTTTATATTAGATTTGAACAAGTTAGTCTTTATCTATCTTAAAATGTCGATCATGTTATTATCTAAGAAAAAAAATGCGTCAACCATTATTACGTTTAAATATTTCAATCAATTACCGTAAACAAAATTTTGCAAAACTAGGCAAGTCCAAAAACTAGTGTAGCTTAGCTGTAGAGTTATTACAATTCAGTAGGCCATAAAATTTGGTAACATAAGGTATGACTCTAAACTAGAGGTACTGTGAGCACTGACCTCATTAAATGATAACCCCGCCTCCCATATGATTATAATGGTATTATAAAGTCCATGTTTTCCTCCAGGAAACCCGTAATAAGTGTCAGATCAAAAAAGTAAAATAGAAGGCGCACAATTGTATTATGTAATTTGTGAAAGTATCAATAAGTCTGATTTTGTGGTAGATGAGGAGATAAGGGATGGGTACACTTCAGTATTATAGAAATAATGGCAGAGTCAACGTCTTTCTCAGGGAAACCCGAAATATGTGTCCAATCAAAAAGTAAAGCAGAAGTCTCTGTCGAGACTGAAGCTCTGGGGGGAGCTGGTTTGTACCTATAGCAAAGGAATAGAAAAATAGCAGTTGGGAATTGAAACTATATGCAATAAATAGAATAATGATCTTTGATTAAGTCTCTTTATGTTCTTAGTGTAGTCTACTTGTAATTGCCACATTATATTATAATCAGACTAAAACTGCATTTGGGGTAGCATTTTGATAGTATTTTACAGAAATTTCTATCTTTATTAACCAAGGCAATAATGTTCATCGAAATCAAAAAATAATAAATAGAATTGTGTATCTTAGTGCAGTCTACTTGTGTACCAAGTTATATTGAACTGTATGACGAGTAGCATTTTGAAACAATTTCATGGAAATTTCTATTTTTAGTAACCACAGCAACACCATTTATTGAAATCAAAAACCAATAAACAGAATTATGTTTCTCAGTGAAGTCTACTTGTGTGCCAAGTTATATTGAAATCAGACCAAAACTGTAGGAGGAAGAGCATTTTGAAACAGTTTCACAGAAAGGTCTATGTTAAGTAGCCACGGCAACACCGTTCATCGAAATCAGAAACCGAAGCACAGAATTGGATATCTTAGTAAGGAAAGTTGACGATAGAAAAGTTAAAGTCGTCACGTTTATCATATAACTTGCTTGTTAGGTAACCATTAACGTCTTTTTCAAGTAAAATA